CCCTGATGGCTTAGAGACCCTGCAGCATATGGCTCCCTGCTGGGAAACGTGGCTCCACTCGCCTGGTGTTCCAGTCCTTTCCCCAAAGACAGCTGGAGGAAGGACTTGAAAAGAGCTAGCGGCATAGTGACGTCATGAGTTTTGAACTGCTCACCGTCACTCTGTGGGAGGAAAATGAGGCTGTCTGGTCCTGTAAAGAGCGGTAGCCATGAAAACCCTATGTAGGATCACTAAACGTTGGAGCCCTGGTGGTGTAGTGGTTATGCATTGGGCTGCTAACCACAAAGCCAGCAGTTCAAAACCACCAGCTGCTCCTCAGGAAAAAAACAAGGTTTTCTACTCCTGTAAAGAGTTCGTCTCAGAAACTCACAGGGGCAGTTCTACCCTGTCCTGCAGGGTCCCTGTGAGTCAGCATCAGCTCGATGACAGTGGGGTTTTACTTAATACGCTGGAACGGACAAAAGGGCAGTGGCTGTCTGAATGCACTGGAACCGACCCAACGACTGCGAACTTGGTCTTCGCTGTGTAGATGATGTCAAGGAGGTTTAGGCTCAGGCATCTGGTGCCCACAGGAGAAAGCTGGGTACCGACCAGGGAGAATGCGTTAGGTTTCTCGGGCTAGAAATACCTTGGGCCTTGGCTTCTTAGGAGAAAGAATTCATGCTAAAGCCTGGTTTGTGATCCCAGTGGGTTTTGTAAAGGATAGAAGCAGTTTCAGGTTTTACACAGGCCCCTCAGGGCACTTCACCCTCACATGTGGAAACCTGAGGGCACAGGCACCCGGCCCAGGACAGCACAGCTGGAAGAGGGCAGGGGGCTTCCGATTCTGGCTTTTCAGGCCTTCCTTTGGGAGGTGTGGCTGATGGTACTGTTGACCCCACTGACTGAATTAAGCCCACCTGGCCTCGATTGGGGCCCACCCAGGTGTACTGGCTTCCTGTCTCAAAGGCCTGAATTCATGCATGCCCTCTAGTCTTTGTGAGCTTCCAACTTCCTGTAAAGGGAGGAGGGAGGCTTTGGCATGGAGAGGGGCAACTCCGTCCAGCTACCTAACAAATTTGTTTGCTAGCCCAAAACTCAACAGCCAAACGCACTGCCCTGGCTTCCATTCTGACTCACAGTGACTCCGTGGACAGGGCACAACGCTCCCGTGGGGTTTCCGCAGCTGTAGCTCTACAGGAACAGAAAGCCTAATCACCCCCCCCACCCCCACCCCAAGAGAAGCTGGTGGGTTTGAACTGCCGACTGTGTGGTTAGCAGGCCAACGCGTGCCCCACTCCACCAGCGGGGCCCCTTAAACGGAGGCAGCAGTCCCTGGGTGGCCCAACTGGTTAAGCACTCAGTGCTTGTGGGGCAAGCAAGCCGTGTGCACCAACCGTCTGGGACTCCAGGGGGATGTCACAGGACTCCGATGGTTCCTTCAGGCATGTCCAGCCCGAGGTGCTTTCTCTGCCTTCCGTCTCACCGTTGCAGCTCCTGCCTGGCGTCTGGACGGGGTGATGACGTCCCTCTGTTAAATGCATTATCTGGTGCTAATTGAACCGGCCTGCTCCTGCTGTCACCGGGAAGATCTTGTCAGGAACTGATGAGCTGTTCTGGAGCCGAGAACCGTGCAAGCTGCTGGCACCCAAGTTGCCGCCAGTTAGCCTGGGGACCTGCCAAGGAGCCCTCTGCTGCCCTCGGGGTGGGGCTCCAAAAACTCACTGCCACCTTGCCAATTGCGCCTCTCAGCGAGCCTCAGAATGGCTCGGGTTGGGGTGGGGGTGGGGGGTCTGAAATGAAATCTTTGCAGGAGTAAAGCCTTGTCTTTTTCTCTTGGAGAGGCTGGTGTTTCTAACTGTTGACCCTGCAGTTGGCAACCCAAAGTGAAACCTCTCCGGCACTGGGACTCCTGGGGGCGAGGTTAGCTCAGCACGGCAGTTCTCAGCCTGTGGGAGTTTCAGCCCTTTCACAGGAGTCGCCCAATTCATCACAGTAGCAAAATGAGTGATGAAGCAGCAAAGAAAGTAACTGTATGGCTGGGGGGAGGGGAGGGTGGTCACAACATGAGGAGCTGTATTAACGGGTCGCGGCACGAGGAAGGCTGAGAACCACTGGCTCAGCGGGTTTTCAACCTTGGAGTCCTGGTCTGGTGCAAGTGGTTAACCCACTCAGGTGCCGAGGGAAGGTTGGTGG